TAATTGAGTTTGTTCTAGCATTAGTGTTTTATTCAAAGTTACTAATTATTGTCTGATCAAAGACTCTTCAGAACATTGACCTTTTTTCTATCTATATACATATATGCCTCTACCTGTCTTTTACAATAACAGTACCCAACACTTACTGGCATCTGCGTTTCTTCTTGATAGCTTCTTGGCACACCAACCGATTCTGATCTTGGATCTATTCAGAATGAAAATGCAAGAAGGTATATCAGGCAACTTCCGCTACGTCCACGCCAGCAGTTAGCAAATGTTTTCCCACACGTGCATCCTTTAGCCATTGATCTCGTGGATAAAATGTTGACATTTAACCCCTCCAAAAGAATTACAGGTAATTGCTCAATGATATTGTACAGTGGCACCAGTAAAAAGAAAAGATTAAATAATGAAGTTTATTAGAGTAGTTTTGACTTTTAAACATCGTTCATTAAATATAAATTCAAACTGAACACTGCTATTAGTAATTCTGGTTTGACTTACAATCTTCCCTTGATTTCACTTTTTTTCATGCTCATTGCCTTTGAAAATGGTTTAGCGGGCTATACATACACTTAAGTTGCTATATTTGCTTTTGTTCTTTCATCGATTCAAGTTTCAAGCTCATCTACTCACCTAGTTATTTCTTTGTTTTCCGTGCAGTCGAGGAAGCGTTAGCTCATCCCTACCTTGCCCAGTTACATGACAAATCTGATGAACCTGTATGCGCGGTTCCATTCACTGATTTTGAGAAACAAGCCTATGGAGAAGAGCAAATAAAAGACATGATTTACCAGGAGGCATTGGCAATGAATCCAGAATATGCATAACAAGAGGGCACTACCATTTTCTCCCCTTTTCTTCCGCTGACCAACAAAACCTATCTGTTAACTTCAAATACTTGGATGCTCCTGTGAGCAATGCCTGTTCCATGTTATTGTACTCGATTTATTATTATTATTATTTTGATATTAGTTGTACCATTAATTATTTTCTTTCTTCCGCGTACAATGAAGTAATTGTACAGTGGATTAGAATTTGAGTTATGTAATCCAGATGTACTATTCTTTGGAGAGGCAGGCTATATATAACAGATTTGATTGCAAATTTGCAGAGAGTAGTTTACAAGAGTATCAGTATTCTCTTTACAGATAGTTTCTAAAACAAAACATTGTTTCCATGGAAGCCCAAGATCCAAACTTTATTATTATTATCTTTTATTTCTTGTTTGGGAAAATGGTCAAATAGACTCTCGAACTTTAGCTTAAAAGTCAATTAGGCCCTTAAACTTTTTAAAGGTGCAATTACACACATCAACAATTCATTTAAGTGCAATGAAGTCTAAAAACAAATTAATGACCTGCTATCACAGGTCATTAAGGTTCAGGCCACCTTCTGGCGAATTTTTCGACAAAAAAAAAAAAAATGATTGGCGATATTTTCGACAAATTTGGGTCGGTTGCTGGTCACTTTTTTTGCCAGAAAATTCGCCGGAAGGTGGCCTGAACCCTAATGACCTGTGATAGCAGGTCATTAACTTGTTTTTGGGCTTCATTGCACCTAAATGAATTGTTGATGGGTGTAATTGCACCTTTAAAAAGTTTAGGGACCTAATTGACTTTTAAGCTAAAGTTTGAGGGCCTATTTGACCCTTTTCCCTTCTTGTTTTGGACCCGTGATAGGTCACCGAACACGTGAACATAGTCTCTTTGTTAAATCTAAGCAGATAGTTGAACTACACATAACATAACAATTTGAATATAGAAGTCATAATTGGCAAGTGATTAGTTCCAAAGGAGCTGAGTATATACACACAAATGAGCAACCCAAACATTATTAAATTTTTCAATCATTGTCGTTTGTTGCGGATATATCTAAAAATTATGGTGCAATTTTTTTTTTTTTTTTTCATAGTACAATTTAATTTGGTGAATTGGTGGGAAGTATCAGGTTGATGATTTTTTCCAAGTCTGCCAAGTAGTTTTGGTGGTGGTTCACATCTACCCTTCATTTTATATTTCTTTCTTTGAGTTCTTTCTATAATTATCTTACTTTAATGCTATATGATGGTTAATTGTCAATGATTTAATAGTTTATATTATATCACAAGTATGAAAAATTCTCAGTTCCAACTAACAGGAACATATTTAATTATATTCAATGTGGAGATTATGCTTCACAGCTTGACAAATTTTGATTTTTTTTTCTTCTTTAGCGTCTAATCACAATCATGTTGACTTCATGTCTTCATTATCCTCCTTATCCCACCCCAAGTATATAACCACAAGCCTCGAAAGGGTTGACCCGAGTGGTGCAGTATGATTTTCGTATCAGTCATGAATTCGATTTTTGCTAATACTCTCTTGATTAAATTCATTACACAAAATTTTACTAGTGATTTGTGAGCTTACATATAAGCGGTGTTTACAAACCTTAGATACTAAAAGTCAGGGTTAATGATTGAAATGGGCAAAAATTGAGTGAACAAAAATAGACACTTTTAAAAACTTGTACATTTTTTAAAAAAAAAAAAATTCTATTTTTAAAACTGAATACTGAATACCGAAGCGTCCACCCCTATATATATGTAGGTATATATACACATATACAGTAGTAACTTATGGATAAAAATAAAATATATATGAAAGGTACTAGATGTTTATGCAGCTCAGTTGGTTATTTTTGTTTGTTGTTATCACCTCTTATCGGGTAAAAAAATATACTCCATCCGTCTCATTTTATGTGTCTGATTTGGTTAACGAGGCTTGACTAAAGTTATTTTTAATTCAATTTTTCATAATATTAAGTTTAGTATTAGTATACAAAATTTATATATTTAGAAACTACACTAAAAGTACTATTAAACACAAAAAAAAATGAAATTTAAAAATATTAAAGAAAATAAACAAAGAAGAAAGAGTTGGTTTGACCAATAAATAGTTAGTATGATAGATAAAATGATACAGAGAGAGAGTGATACATTCTCTACAACTAAGGACCATAACCCCTTCATATAATAGCAATAAACAAATGGAGATATTTTTAATTTGACTCCTCATTGAATTAGAAATATTCTTATGAGCCAAACTATAGAGTGTGATGGTAGTATGGTATCTCGTTACCATTTCAAATGGGTAGTCATATGATCTTTAGACTAAAAATGATTAAGAAAGTATAGAACATATAGGTCCTGTTTGGTAAAAAAATTGACTTATAGGCCAATTTTGACTTATTTGACCACTATTAATTGTTTGATTTAGTTAAAATATCAATATAAATGTTTGGTTAATTAGCTTTTTGCAACTCCAAAAGGCTAAAATTAAAAAAGCTACTCCTAGCAACTTTTTCAATTAGCTTTTTGAGAAAAGAAATTATACCAAACAGCTATCAGCTAACAGCTAATTTACCAAACACTTTTCTACAATCAGCTAATGTTATCAAGTATTTATACTCTCTAATTAACACAATCAGCTAACAGCAAACAGCTATTAGTTAACAGCCATTTTACCAAACAGGGCCATAGTAATTTGTAAAGAATCATGAGTATTTAAAAAAATATATTCTTATAATATTTAAACAATAATTTTTTTTATGATATTTATACATTTAAACATAATCTTTTTTTTTTTTTAAAATAAGACATTTTAGTTTTGACTAATTAAAAATAATAACTTAACATATTTAATTATACATGTGTGACTAGCATTAACTATATTTCAAACTACGAGAATTGAAAACCTTAATTAGCAATCCTAAAAACTCATAATTTTTGTCATCTATGTTGTTTGTGTCTCAAAATTTTTTCAAATCTCAAACAAGACTTCCTAGATTAATCAATAAGGGTATCTCAAATATGGAAGATTTAGAGGAGCATGTTTGGACATAGGAAAGAAAAGGTGAGCGGGAACAAAGAGAGTGTGTTGTGCGTACAACTTGCACGCTTTTAGATATGGAGAAAAAAAGAAAAAAAGAATTCTCATATACAAGGACAAGAGTTTTTTTTTTTTTTTTTTTTTTTTTTTTTTTTTTTTTTTTGAAGACTATACAAGAGTTGGTGATACCCTAAGCAACATTATCAATTAGGGATATTATGGGAAGAATGTAAGAGTGATTAGGAAAGAGAATGTGGGAGGAGAGAGAAAAAAAGAAAAAAAATAGAATTTAAAATAATAATAAAAAAAAAAGGTAATCAGTAAAGTCAGGCGTGCAGCACGCCACCCGGCGCGTGCATGCGCCCGGCTTTGGCCTTTAGTTGCGCAATACACGTAGTCCGTGCGCAGTTGTTTTTTTTTTTTTTTTTTTTTTTTCTTCATTCTCCCACTCTTTGCAGGAGGATTATTTTTTGCATTCTTCTTGCTTCACATATGCTGCATATTTGTGTACTAATTTCCCCATATTATATTCTGATGGGATACTCAAGAAGGTTCTATATTTATAATCTATTACTTTCACTTTTATTGATGGGTCTTTCAAAAAAATTGATTAATTGAAAACGAGTAATACTACAATACTTTAAAATTTTCTTTTTAATTCTCTATTGACACGATATTTTTATTATTATCTAAAATAGTATGTCACAATTTTTATTTATTTTAATAGAATTAAAACCAAAAAAAAAAACATATGACTTAGAATTTTACCTATCCTATTAAAAGTCTATATACCATCTTTCTTGAAAACAAGATAAATTTATCGTGACTCGAAAGAAACAGTTGAGTGAATAGAATATGATTCTAAACACTCTTTCAAATTTTCGGTCAAACCCACACATAAGATGGTCACATAAGAGTTCATCATCGCAGACAAAAAAATATATATAAATTTATCATGGGCCAGAGTATGCTTGACTTTTTTTTTGCCTACCAACCTGCCATACGTTAATGAATACATTTTCCCCTTCATTCCAAGAAGTTGGTGAGGTTGGAGTAGGGACTTGGATATTTTAAAAACAATATAAGCACCTCCTCTAATCCAATTGCAGCAATGGACAGGTCAATACAGCCTATGGATTACGAAGCAGCAGCAGGGCCACCCTCTCCCGGCGGCCGCCGCCGCAAGCTGGGTGGCTGGATCACATTCCCCTTCATCCAAGGTAGAGTCTTGAGCTTCATTCCACCCAATAATATAATATTATGAGCTTTAATTGCAGCTAACAAGAGTGTTTTAATGGCGGAAACCTGCAGCGACGATGGCGGGGTTGACACTTGCGGCGGGAGGAGTGGTTAACAATCTGATTGTTTATCTGATACAAGAGTTCAGCATGAAGAGTATAAGTGCAGCCAAAGTGTATAATGCAGTGAATGGGTGCATCACTATTTTGCCCATCTTGGGAGCAATCATTGCTGACTCTTTTCTTGGCTGCTTCTCTGTTATCTGGATTTCTTCTCTCATCTCTCTCCTGGTAATCACTTCACTTCCTTCTTCTAACTTTCTATATATCATCTGCTAGTAAATTCTAAGAGATGGCTTATGAGTCCATGTAGCTATTTTTACCCTCCATATACTCCACAGTTAATTTGGGTCAATGAAACCCACTGCCACTACTCGATGGTGTACACTCAGTACCCCATCTTATGATCCTGCCGACAAAGGACTACAAGGAGATAAAGTAACTTATATTATTCATAGCTAACTAGGTACTCGATGAAACTCACAACCACTACTTGATAGTGTACAAGAGGCACCCCACCTTGTGACCTTCCTTAGTTGGCAAAAGACTACAATGAGATAAATTAGTTTAGGTTATCCATGGCTAACCAACTCAAACCAAGAATACCAATAGGTCACTCTTATGAGGAGTCGAACTTATAACTTTATAACTATCAAGTCAACAGTCTGACCAACTTAGTTGCGGTTGCTAATATCATATTTTGGGTTGAATAGGAAGCCTCTGACCACTATATGAGGGTACACTAATCTCGTCTTGTGTCCTAACTGACAAAAGATTACTAAGGAGGTAAACTAGCTTAAGTTACCCATAACTGAGAATCAAACTTGAAACCACGTCATTACTAAACCAACAACCTGACCAACTTGGACTAGTGTTTGATGGGTTGTCCCGGAAAATATCATATTTTGATTTGCTCATGCAGGCCACTGTTCTAATAGTGTTAACAGCATCCATTGATTCACTGAGACCCGCAGAGTGCGATGGATCGAGTGGTTGCATCAAGCCAACCACAGTCCAATACACAGTGTTATATGCCGGTTTAGCTCTAATGTGTATAGGGGTTGCCGGCACACGGTTCACGATCGCAACAATGGGCGCTGACCAATTCGACACCCCAAAGCAGCGACAAGTTTCCATTAACTGGTATGTTTTCACGCTGTACACATCCTCCGTGATAGCCTCCACGGCCATTGTGTTCGTGGAGGACAACGTCGGCTGGGCGTGGGGATTTGGAATCTGCGTCGCGTTTAACGTTGTCGGCCTGGCTGTTTTCTTGTCGGGAAAGCGTTTCTACCGCCGTGTTATGGCGCAGGAGAGTCCGTTTATTGGCCTGGCTCGTGTTCTGGTGGCTACACTCAGAAAACGAGGAGAATCGGTTTCGTCTGAGGGGGCGGTCTACTACCATGATCCCCAGGTTGAAGCTATAAAGATGGCCGCTCCTACGCCTACAGAGTTTCTCAAGTAAGAACTCTAAACTACACCCAATTGCATTTGTTAACTAAGGCAATGTTGAAAATTCAAACTTCTAGTCTAGTCACATAAGTGGGAGGGAGGGAGGGAGGGGATATTTACGAACCTGACGAGAAGGTTGTGTCTTATTATGCAGGCTCTTGAACTGTGCAGCATTGGTCACTGAAGGAGATGCTAAATTAGATGGTTCAATTGCAAAGCCTTGGAGGCTATGCACTGTTGAGCAAGTAGAAGATCTCAAAAGCTTGTTCAAGCTTTTCCCTCTATGGGCTAGCGGTTTATGCTTATCCACCCCACTGGTTATCCAAGCCAGTTTAGCAGTTCTCCAAGCTCTCAAAATGGACCGTCAAATGGGGCCTCACATAAAAATCCCATCAGGTTCTGTTGTCGTCTTCATACTGGTTTCAACAAGCATAACCATTACCTTCATAGACCGTGTACTCTACCCATTAATGGCGAAGTATACGACAAGGTCCCTGACACCTCTCCAACGCATTGGTGTTGGGCACGCTTTAATACTTCTTAGCATGGCGATCTCCGCCTTGGTGGAGGCAAGGCGCCTTAAAGTCGCGGATTCCAACAACCTCCAAGTCCAGAGCAACGGGGGAGTGGTACCCATGTCAGTCTTCTGGCTAGTCCCGCCATTAGCACTTGCTGGTGTTGGAGAAGCATTCACCTTCCCGGGAAATGTTGCGTTTTACTACCAGGAGTTTCCTGAGTCTCTGAAAAGCACATCGACCGCTGTGGTTGCTTTGTTCATAGGGATATGCTACTACCTGGGCAACGCCGTGATGGATCTGTTGCAGAGAGTGACAGGATGGTTGCCGGACAACATCAACGATGGGAGGGTGGATAATGTTTTCTGGGCATGTAGTGTCTTGGTGGCTGCAAACTTTGGTTACTATATGGTGTGTGCCTGCATGTACAAGTACAAAGATACTGATGGGAAACAAAATGAGGGTAATGAGTAAATGACCACATCAAAAATCCCATGTATAGCAGCAGTCAAGTCTGTAGCTATTCTTCCTTTTCTTTGGCTCAACACTGTAAACACAAATCAATGGAATAATGACTTAATACAAATGAATATTTCATGGTAAACATCGAATTAAACACCCTCTTTCAAGAAGAGACCAAAATACCCACTAAAGTTGTTTTTGGTGAGATTCAATCCCTACCAATTTCCTGGCTTCAAAGGCTAATAGTTCATGATAAACAGCAAATCAAGGTATAGTTCTTTGTGTTAAACTTCAAATGCAGAGCATGAAAGGAAAATCTCAACAAAACATATATTTCAACCTTAACTTGTAAAGGTGCCACGTCTTTTGGAGAATGGGTCCTAATGCATTGAGATAGAAGGTATACAAATGATATGTGTACAGAAAACTATTAAACGAAATAGAAGAATTGACCTTTGGCAAAAAGGAACAGAGATGTACGAAGTAACTATGTTTTCGCGAAAAAGGAGAATAAAACTCAGGTTTGTACATGAAAAGAATTGCAAATACTAATGCATGTCCAATGCCAGTACGTTGCATTGCCTTCCCTTGTTGCATGTGCTCATTCTCCATGGAAAGCATCAGGAACCACAGGAGGTGATAAATTCATCAATAAAAGAATACCAGGTTCAAATGTCAAGGCATGCCACTGTCTGCTGGATAACTCCCCAAAACTCTCAAAAATGTAGCGAATTCCTGGACAGGTACTTCACATATTAGTGCTGAAAAACAACAAAGGATTTTGACTAAAACATAGGTAAATTTTTACTAAACAAACCTTTAGATGCCCCAAAGCATTTTGGGCCCTTTCATCAGCCATGGATGCTTCAAAATCCACATAGAAAAGATAGGGGAAATACCTATCATACAGAGCCAATATTATCACTAAATCATAGAATGGAATATCTACACATGCAAGATCTTGTAAAATGCATGCTAAGTAGGGCAATGGATATACTTTGGGAACCCATCAGCACTATATCCAAGTAGTTGCAAAGCCTGTTTCTGCAAGGGACGGCTTTCAATCTAGAAGAGAAAATAAAATAAACCAGTGAGAACATTTGTCTTTAGAAACATGACATTATACATGGGGAAAAACAAAAAAAAAAAAACTTCTTTAGAATGTACTCACTTTTGTAAGGTTGATATTCCTCATAGCAAAAACAGCAAGTGCCTTAAAAAGTATCCCAGGACCTTCCTCAAGAGAAAACACTATACTTGTCTGAAAGATTGTAACTTGCATCAGATTGAAATGAACTTTACGGACAAATCAGGAAGAAATGAGCTGATAAGGATTTTTTGTTTTCCCACTTCTCAGCAGTAAAGTGATAGCTAACCTTGAATGGTTTATTGATGCCAGGAATTATGGGTTCTCTAGCCAGCATTAGGAACCGAGTAACATTATCAGAATCATCCTGAAATAGAACACAGTCCATAACCCAGCGCTTGAAAAAGGCGCAGCATAAGTACTTCAGTGACAACAGCATTTTCAAACCAACCTGTATATTTTGTGCAAGTACATCCAATCCATAGATCTTAGCTGCAGTGAGGCTAGCAACTGCCCCAGTATCTTTTAGTTTGTGGAAAGCAACATACTGCAACAGGAAATGCCAAAGAAAAAGCATCACAATTAGATCATGTTCTCGAGCTTAAAATTACATAAGAAAGAGAACATAATTACTGATACTTTCTACATACCTTTGCTGCTCCAGCAGTATCATCCACAGCTTCTCTGACCAACCCGAGCTCTGTTAATGTGTTCTCACACTGTGCAAGTGCCTGACAAGTCACCAGTTACCACATCAAATACGATGCACATGAAGCGATCTACCACCCCCCCCCCCCCCTCCCAACCCACAAAAAAAAAAAAAAAAGAGAAAAGAAAAGAAGAAGTATAGCATGCCTGAGGATGGCTGAGAACTCTTCTCAAATCTTTGACTTTCACACCTGGACTAGCTAGTAAGCAGTGTTGTATGGCAAGTTTGACTTCTCCAACTATATGCAGGCGGTGTCGAAGTAAAAGGTCATAATTCCTATGGATACTTCCCCCTAAAGAATTTTCAATGGGTAAAACTGCTCTATCGACAAGCCAACTTTCAACAGCCTGTTAATAGGAAAGGAAAATGAAATCACAATCTGATCATAGATAATATTACATGTATGTGTACATTGGGGAAAGTGTGGGTGTTTGGGTGGACCAAAGTAAGCTGGATATGGATTGATCAAGACAAGTGGACTGAAGGGTGGGGTCAATGCAAGGAGGGTTTTTTTGTTATGCTACTAAGACTTCTATTTTAATGGAGATAGACATAATTTCCTTGGGTATCATCATTTTTTAAAGTCCATTCAGTGGGTATTATTGGTTCTTTACAGCACTCATTATGGCTACTAATCTAGTAGAGGTGGACTAACTTAAGACAATCTAAGATCTCAAGAAGAGACAGAACTATACAGAGGGGGCCTGCAACAAGAGCTTCCTATTTTGGCATTAGCAGCATATGAAAGCTTAGCTTCATAGGACATAGAAGGTTTGAAAAGTTAAATCCCCAAGAAATCAACAGAAATAATAATTTAGCTAAATAAACTCTGAGAAGGTTTTCTAGAGAATTAAAGAGGTTAAGTATAGCTAATATCTCTAAGAAATCATTTATTGGAGTACAGGCATCAAAGATTTGCCTACACAATACCATATTACTCCGTACTAGATAAAGACTCAGAGGCAATTTGGCTCCATTGCACCTGTTACTCATAAATCTAGATAATTGATGGCAGTTAGAAATCTAACCCACTGCAGAATCAAAATTTAAAAGGCTAATAAATAGGTTTTTCTTTTGGGTGCAAAAATCCAAATAGATCATAAATTCTTTACTGTATCAATCATCACTAGCAGCAAACTTGGCATCACATATGTGACACACAAAAAAACAAAATACGGAGTGGCCTCTATTTCCTTGGGTAGAACATGCCATAGTCAATATACATAAATAATTTATTATTTTTTTTTTTTAAAATCAGAGTTCGTATTTTTCTTTGCACAGGTACAAAATATGTGTTTGCACTATGAAAGTTAGCAAATCTCACTTCAAAAGCAGTATCAAATTGTTCACAAGGCACTGCTTCGCAATTTGGATAAGCCTTCTCTGCAGCTGATTCACTATACGCACCTCTCACCCCCTGATGAAAAGAAAGTAATAACCAATTAATAAATTCAAAACAATCAATAATAATTCAAACTCGTATTATAATACAACGAAAAACCTGATAAGCAACGCGAAGACGAGATCCTTGAGAAGCCATATTGGACAAATCAGCCGACGTTAAAGGCCCTGAATTTCACACAAAAATTAAAATTAATCTCCGATGGACAAACCCTAAGGCATTCAATGCTCAACAACCAACATATTTCTACACACACCCACACAAATTGATTTGAGAAAGCAAAAGAGTACTTGGAAGTGGATTCGGCAGGTCCTTGGAATTGAATGCAAAAGGATATTCTTCTACGAGTTTCCCCAACTCAATCGGTTCAGTCTTCTTCACCTCACCGCCATAAGCGTCATTTTCGCCGCCGTTCCTGGCGGCTCGTATGGATACATGACGGCGTCGTTTAAGTGTAGGCTTCAGAGAGCTATAGGAATGCAGAAATGGCTTAGAGTTAGAGGCTGGTTCGAGATCGGAACGAAGGCTCGAAGATGACCTTGCGGCCGCGGCCGCTGCCACCGTCGCTGTAGTGGCCGCCATTGCTTTCAATAACCGCAAGTTTGCATGAGAGTGGTTTAACAAATATTTCAGTACGGACCGATCAAGTTATACGGAGTCTTAAACTAGACTAGACTATAATGGATTACATTATTTTCCCCGTCATAAAAAAAAAATTAAATTACGAATATTTTGTTAACATGTTTTAAAATATTTTGCTATTATGGATTTTCGACATTGGATAAAGAGCGCATCATATTAAATAGTTTTGGTTTAGATTTTATTAATCAGTTGGAGTTAAATTTTATAAATGCGATATAGATTGGATTTGGATTAGCATCACAATGGTAAAGATATTGGATAATGTGTGTATTAAAAATGATAGCATATATTTTCTTTAAATAAGTATAACAAATAACCTTGCATAGTTACTTTTGTATATTATAGGGTATTTTTAAAAAATCATGATAGAGATGGAGACTCTACAAATAAACTATAATCTTCTTAAAATAAAATTTTTCTAGACAAGGAGAGACCAACACAATCCTCTTCCAAAATATGATGAACCACAAGATGAGGATGTTCATAACTATTTGCTCAACTTAATAGAACAACTCAAATCCACGACATCCCATATAAGGGAGCAATTTAGTGTCATTTGACCCCAAGTTCCTTTAACATATCATCTCGTCCATTTAACCACTAAACTTAAATAACTTCCCACCATTACAAACATATGTAGCCTTCATCGGTTCAAAATATCATATACAACTTGAAAGTTGAAACCTTTAAAGAGCGTCTAGACTTCAATCTCCACTGCATTTCACTAGCATGCCTATATTATAGCTAAAAGCCTAAAACCCCTTAACTAGCCCCTAAACGAAACTTGAATCACCATTAAAAAATAAAAAATAAAAAAATAAAAACTAAAAACACAAAAAATTATTCACTATTAATATATTATTATTATTATTATTATAGTGTAAAAGATAATGATATGGAATATACCTTGCCATACTGATTTGCATGTATTGAACACCTACTCGGGTTCGATTCTATAAGTAGTGGAGGTCCCTTCCCGACCTGATCTGACATGCAAAGAGTACTTGACCGACCCGACTTGAGAGATAGGCGGCTGATTGGCTTAGTGAGCTTTCGCTCTTAGCCTCTTATTCTCGGTATTGACTTGGAAGATCGTTTGGGGGCCCGAGCCTGTGCTATAAGTCCTTAAAGAGATACGTTGATAACCGAGCTTGTTAGCTATTGGTTAGACATATGTTTTTTGGCATGTGGAGGCCTTCTCCATTGCCGCCAAGACCGTTGAGTGCATGGAGGACACGTGGCGCACATGCCGGCCTCCTGGCATGTGCCCCCCCCTACCCCATATAAATACCCCATTAGACTCTTGTAGAATGGACTTTTGGGCTCTCACACTAGATTATTGGTATGCCCGGGAACCTCTGACCTTCGGGCGTATCAAGCCGAGCCTGTGTATTTAAATTCATTACTTAATAAGATATACGAATACGGATACCCAGTGGAATTTACCACGTCAATTTGGCATTGTTTGTGGGACCGGAACTATTAGCTGCAACTCGGTCGGAGTCCCCGATCATGCATCCTCAAACGGGACATGAGGAGGAAATTTATGATCTTGTAGTGTTCGACCTTCGGTCTCAATTGTTACTCCGACAAGCCTCGACTCAGACGCTACAAGTTGGATTGATGAGAGTGGAAGCAATTGATTATTGTTAACACCGGAATCGGGGGTGGCGTGCGTCGATGCTCCGGTGTCCGGTAGCCACGTACTGACTGCCAGTGGCTATGCCGTTCCATCTCCTGCAACGGCCACATGAGCCTGCGACGGCAGCGGCTCCGTGTACCGCCGGTAACAAAAGGCGGCAGAATGCCCCTGAGAGCGACAGATTTGGCAGTGCAACCCGCCGTTCTGGCCACGTCCTCCGCGACCGCCGCGTTGATTGCCGTCGCGTCCTCCTCCACCATGAGACTGCCGGCCACTGTCTCCGTGTTGGCGTCTGCCTCGACCCGCGTACAACGCTGCTGGACCACCATTCTGCGTCGCCGGTTGGTAGGTCGGGAAATCATCAGCATCTATAAACTGCTGTGCCTGGAGGTAATCTGCAAGCTGAGGGATGGATACCGGCCTGCCGGTGATTGCCATGGAGGAAGCGATTGCCTGGAATTCCGGCCGCAACCCCCGGAAAACATAGAGGTTTTGCTCCGTTGGCGTCAAGGTTCGTCCGGCCAGCGCAAGTCCTCGACCAAATGTTGCGCACGGCCCTGGTACTCCTCTGTGGAACTGTCACCTTGACGCAAAGTTTGAATCTGCCCAAGCAGATTAAGACTTTGTACCTGCGTCGCCGATCCGAGAGCTGTCTCCGCCGCCATCCATACACCGAGTGAAGTCGCCTGGCCGAGGGCAAGGTACATGACCTCCTCCGAGAGGGAGGAAATTAACAAGGAGAGGATGGAGGCGTCTTGCTGCACCCACACGCCATACGCCGGATTTTCGGTGGAGGATGATGCATCGTCCGGATTATCGCCAGGATCTCCAGGTGAGGTGACGGACATGGCCGCGTGCCATCTACAAAACCGAGGAGTCCTTGGCCTCGTAGGAATGGTATGACCTGCGTTCGCCAATACAAGTAATTACGATGCGTTAATTTGAGCGACACAAAATGGTGTGCACTCGTGAGGGTGTTGTAGCCGGCGTTTGGGGAGGAGATGGTGGTGGCCGTGAGGGTGCGTTCGGAATTGCTGTTCGACATGGTCGACGGAAAGGTAGAGAGAAGGGTGGGAGGGGGATTATGACTGGCTAACTGATACCAGATGAGAGTGGAAGCAATTGATTATTGAATAACAGAATCAGGAATACAAATATACTCTCAAGAGAGAGACCTAACTAATAGGCTATAGACTAGGACATTTATTCTATGCTACACAATGTACAATAGATAATATAATATAAATAATAACATAGTCTAACAGGATCAACCTCTCCAAATCTGGTTAGCTTCAACACTATCAACTTAGGTGAAATGCACCCCTTCGCCCCGAGCCTAGTAGTGAATCCTTTTGTGCTCAGCTCGGTTCCTGGATGGAACTTCGCCTCTCCCAGGTGGGGGTATCTACCTCCAAATCCTTTCATGATAGGCCCATTCCCATCTTAGTACATGTTCCAACCACTCATGTGCACGGTCGTCCTGACCAGCATGCCGTTGGTATCGACACCAACGGGGGTTATAGGCCAACAAAACTTAAGTCGGTCACTCGAGCAAGTCAGCCAACCAGTCCAAGTCCAACCAAATTCGAGCATAGGAATCTTCATAGCAATGATCCCTGAGCGCCCATGCGAGATCACCTAGGACCACATATTCAGCCATAGAATCACCGCGAATGATCCGACGACAGCCCCCAAGAGGTTGTAGAGCAAAGAGAAATACCTGTCGGGGTGACGTCGTCGAAATCCTCGTATTGACAACCGGCGACGAAGGTAGAAAGCAAGTGACACCAGCCCCTTCGATCTGCCGAGCAATCGCTGATTAAGCTCGGCTCGTAGGCTCAAATATGTGTAATAGCTTGTATCTAGCGTATTTTCTAATGTCAAAATTAGTTGTTGTCAAACTTTATTCTAATGTAATTAGATCTGGATGACTACCCCAAACCTCGGGTATACTAGGAAAAATTTGGGCAGGAGCACAAGAAGTTGGTCCCTAGGCCATAGCAATTATTACTTATTTCTTTCTTCATTCCTTTTGTAATTATTACTTTTGTATGATACATAAAGTCGTAGTGAGTGATGGTACAACATTTCTCCATTTTGTAAATTGTCCTATTTAATACCTTCAAAATAAATATTAAATGTAAAAATGTATTCAAATAAAATTTTTATTTTAATAATAAATAAATAATCTTTCTTTCAAAAAAATGTTAATTCACAACAAGGTCCGAAATAAAAATCTTCCATTACCAAGAATCAAACCCAAATCTCCTAGGTGAAAGCCAAATATCCTAACTATTGGACAACAACAAAATTCATCTACTTGGTGTCGATTAAATTTATATTACAATAGGTATTGCATTTTTCTCATAAATAAAATAAAAAGAAATTACAGTGAACGTGGATCGAACATGCAACACATATTTGGTTTTCACTTAATAATAAAATTGCAGTTTTCGGTGCCCTCCCCCAGACTCTAGAGTGTAAAAATAAAATCTCAAAGGAGAAAACTGATGAAAATAAACGAAGCTTGAATGAATCACCATTAAAAATAAAAAAAAACTAAAAACACAAAGAAGTATTCACTATTAATATATTATTATTACTAGTATTTGTCCCGTGCGATGCACGAAAAATATGTTATAAAAATATACACTATATGAGGTTTATTCATATATAAAATTTTTGTTATTTAATAATTATTATGTGTGAATTCCTATGATAAAATTATGAACATAAATATATTTACAATTAAAATAATATTTAAGGTGGGTGATTACTACAAATCTTAAACTATATTAAAAATTTAGTACATAGTATTTAATATTATAAATTTTTAAGAACTTAGTAAACTACAATAGTAATTGAATTACAATTTTAGAGTCACCACGGATCAAAATTTTTAGACCTTTGAGATTTCTAACTCTAGATGTAGCAACATATAATTGACCTTTAAAGACCAAAATCACAATCTTAGTTAGAACATTGATTTTTTTCTTCCAAATACTATCGAATTAAGTGTGTAATCAATAAAAGATGAGAACTAATAATTCGAGAATATAATCTTAATGTTACTAAGCCTACTTCACGTCAATTAAGTTGGAGAGTGTTGTTGGATAGTATCCGATGAATCCACGAATAACGCATCTTTGTCTCCGTAGTCCTCAATATGCACATCAACAATCTTAAATATTAAGCCACATAGCTATGCTATATATTAATTTCAAACTTATAGACTTTGGGGTTTCATGCATGCTTCTTAAAGCCATATGGCTTTAAGATGTGAAAATTAAATATTGCATTTAATTTTCACATCTTAAAGCCCATTTAATTTTCACAAGACTTTCACATCTTAAAGTCATATGGTCTTGTGAAAATTAAATGCAACATTCAATTTTCACAAGACCATATAGCTTTATTATGTATAGGATTATAGGTAAAATATAAATACAAGTATTCTTTCTCAATTTTATATAAAAAAATGAATTCAATAATAAATAAAATAATAATTCTACTTTTTTTTTTTATAGAAAAAACGAAGTATATTATATATTAAATTAAAAGGAGTCTAATTCGAATATATATATAAATATAAATATAAATATAAATAAATAAATAAATAAATAAATATATATATATATATATATATATATATATATATATATATATATATATATATTTATACCAATCACCGGTGCTGAGTGGGCCTTCACCGATCCTGAGATAGACCCTGACTACGAAGCCAGTCCCCAAGAACTATCGGACGGCAAACCTAGGGTCCAGATCCCCAAGGATCTACGCAAAGAGTGCCAACAATGGAGGATGACATTAATCGTTAAATATTTGGGGAAGACGGTGAACTTTAACGTACTCAATCACAGACTGCCCGCACTCTAGGGCATCTAAGGAAGAGTAGACCTCATTGATCTAGGTTATAGTTGCTTTGTGGCCAGATTCAACAACAAAACAGATTACTTGCATGTGATTCTCGATGGTTTGTAGAAGATTTTCAATAACTACCTGGTTACACAAAGTTGGGAGCCGAAGTTTAATCCGGCTACAACCAAGCTTTCAAAGATGGCAGTTTGGGTCCGTATGCCCTTCCTCTCAATGGAATACTTCAGAGATGACATCATTAGAAATGTTCTTGAGAGCGTTGGGAAACCGTTGAAGTTGGATCGCAATACAACATCGATTTTCATGGGGCACTACGCACGGGCAACAGTCGAAGTCGATCTGGAGAAGCCGTTAGTAATGGAAGTTTGGGTCGAAGATCAACTTCAATTCGTGGAATACGAGAGTTTGCATGTCATATGCTTTTGCTGTGGCATGATCGGCCATCGCGAAAACTCATGCCCCCACAACAAAGACAAAGAAACGGCTAGAGAAGGCATGGATCTCAATGAAACCCATGTGACTAAGAATGAAGGGGATACTCAGCAGGACATGAACACCAACGTTCCACCACCCCAACAGCCGGTAAACCTTTCTGCCCCTCAATCGACACCCGGCCGAGACTCTCGTTATGGCTCCTGGATGGTAGTAACGAGGAAAAAGTCAAACAATACTCCTGCAAAAAACATCCGCCAGAATAACTAGAGCAAAGGGCAATCACGGGAGAAAGGGAACCAGTTTGAACCTCTAATGAGAATGGTGGACACGGACAGTAGGACCCTCCATCCTCCTCAGGCAGAGAGAGCGTGCAAGGTGATTCCCACATGCTGCTCTAGCCGCAGGAACTGACAAGGGAACCACTCCTTCTCCCCGAACAACGAGAACGGGAAAGGAGGCGTCTCCTTTTAATGGGAAAGGAGGCGTCTCCTTTTAATGGGAAAGGAGGCGTCTCCTTTTACTCCGGCAGTGTTGACGTCGCGGGAGCTGGGCGAAAGCTCCAAAGGTAAGGTCTCATCTTTTTCCCCCTTGCCTCACTATCCTCTTCCTCCCACCATCCCTCTAAACTCTCCCTCCACCTCGCGTATCGCTCCCACCATCCCTCCTATGGACACGGCTTCCCGCCAGGCTCAGTTGAGCCAGTCCAGTGGACGGGGGAGACCCCAAAGATCCACACGTGGTAGGGAAAGAGGGACTGAAAGAGGCGATCACGAGAACGGGAGCACAACTTGGGCCCAGACCCCGGCAACGTGATTTGTTCCCGGCGGTCTTATCCCGCCTTTTCTGTTTGGCAGACTGCCTGACACCACTGTGCATAGTGGTTTGGTTGTTGATCCCTTGGTGGAAGCAGTGGCTAATTTAGATATCACGCTTGAGGAAGGCGGTTGACAAACTTCCCCGCCCCCCAATCCTTCTCAATGAAGATCATCTTGTGGAACTGCAGGGGCATTGTTAATGGGCGAGTTCGGAAGCACGTAAAAGAGCTTCTGACCTCAATCAAAGCCGATTCCTTGTGCTTCCTCGAAATCCGTTCTCCCAAGGCTGATAAGATTATTAAGCTGGCCTACTCGTTAGGCTTTAATAATCACTTCCTTGTTGACCCTATTGGGTTTGCCGGTGGGTTGCTTTTGTTTTGGAATCAGGGTCATATCGACCTCGAGATTGTGAACTACACGTCCTAGGCCATTCACACCAGGGTGAAGAATATGCTAGACGACGTGTTGATTACCTTTGGGTATGTTAGACCTAACATGTTGGCTAAGTGTAGGTTTTGGGAAGATTGTAAAAATTTTGGCAGGTTGTTACATTGCCCTTGGCTCATTATGGGAGACCTTATTGACATTGCCTCGGCGGAAGAACATTGGGGTAGTGAATTTGTTAACCGAATGCTCTACAACAGTTTGTCGAGGCCTATAGCAATTGTGGGCTAATGGACCCAGGCCACTCGAGACCAAAATTC